AAGAGAAGAATAAGATGGAGGTGGAGATCGGGGAATATCAGAAGACACTTGATGAAATGTCGGCAGCAATGGCGAATCTTAACCAAGAAGACTATGGAAGCACCAACCGGATCCAGGAGCTGGAAAGACGATGCGAGATTGCCAGCAAGCAGTCGGGACATCTAGTGAGTCACCACCAACACCACATGGCTGAGGCATGGCGCAAGTTTGAGGAAGAAGCCCAACAGAAGCGCAAGGTGGAAATGAACGCATTTCAGTACGGGGAGAAGAAAGACATGGAGTCGAATATTATAATGCAACAGATGAGGCAAGCTGAGGGAACTATCATGGAGCAGAAGCGGGAGATTGCATTGATGAAATCCTACATGGCAAGCGAGAAGTCGGCCGCGCAGGAATCAGCTATACGTGCAAATCAGATAAACCGTGAGGCTTCACAACAGATATCAGTTTATCAGCAACAGATCAGAGGCATAGAATCTTCTACATCTATCGAGAAGTTCAACGAGGAGGAGATGGTCCAAAGTCTGAAATCACAGTTGGAGCATGCACTCGTCAAGCGCCCCGAGACGTACTCGTTGGAGGACTCCAGGGAACAGCTGATGGCGAGGCTGAATGACGTTACAGTATTTGCGGAACAGGAATCGAAGAGAGCAGATTGCTTGCTTCGCGAAAAAGAAGAGATCGTCAAACAGTATGAGTCCGACGTGTCGATGAAGGACCAGATGATTGCTGTCGAAGGTGGTCATCGTCAGGATGCGATCTTGGAATTAGCCCAGGTCAAAGAAGAGAAACAAGAGGAACGGTGCACGATGGACGAGAAGTCGAAGGAGGCTGAGTACTGGAGATTGACAGCTAAGGGAATGTACGATGAGTACCTCGAGGAGATGCATGAGCTTCAGAGACAACTGAAAGAAAGAGAGGCGACGCTCAAGCAAGAAGAGAGTTTTGTGCGCCAACTCGATGCTGACAACGAGGAACTACGTGCACACAAGAAGCTGGAGACACAGGAAGCCTCCAGCAGCAAAGATGGACATCGTGAACGAGCAGTAGTGAAACGCGCTGAGGGAGGAACCCAGGCTAATTCAAATAGGATAGACAAGAAGGTGGCTGGGTCAGTCCCGTCATCGTCTTCAAATCAAATCCCTAATTCGTCGCTGACGCCAGGTTCGATCCTCTTTCCGTCTTTCGGTGATCCAATGATCGATGTACACCTATCCCAGATGCAAGGGGTTGTTGGGCATGTCCCACAATCCACTACTACGACTGGTGGTGGTGATGGAGGGGGAAACAACGGTACTACGCCCCCATTGGATTACGGTGGATTCCCGCCCAATGGAAATGGGCAGGGAGCGGGTCGACGTCAGTTGAGCCTCGCTGGTGGCGGAGGAGGACCTCCGGATGATCCACCCGATGATGAGGATGAGGATGACGACGACGAAGGAGATGAGGAAGACGAGGAAGAAGAAGAGGAAGAAGACGATCGGACGCGGAGGAGACGAAGGAGATCGAGAGATAACCGAGAGATCAAGAATGATCGACCGAGAATCTCGAGGAAAGAGGCCGAGAGAGTATCTATTCCGGCCTGGCCAAAGATCCATCAACTTGACACCTGGAGGATGCAACTGCTGATGAATGTTCTGAGCGCATGTGCAGATCCAGATACCGACGCATGGACGAAATGGCTGGAGCAGGCTCTTGGGTTGAACCCAGACCTGGATTTGCTTAGCGATTCAGGTGGCGACAGATTTGCTACGATAGATATTAAGATGGCCATGGGCATGCAGAACATGCTGAAACAAGCACCTGACGAAGCCAAGGACGTATACCCCGATGCTACACGACACTCTGAACTACGACATCAACAAGGGGTGATCGTGAAGGGACGAGAGTTGGTGGCATTGGTTATGCAATCATTCAGAACTTCCGACAGAACGGATCTTGTCTACCACATCGAGCATTTATTCAACCTCGACTTTCCTGGCGACAAGAACTTGGTCATGTTCAGGAACAAATGGTATGATTTGCTGCTGAAGATGAGGAGCGAGGACAGACCCAGTAAGCTGGCTCTCAGAGACATCCTTTACAAGAAGATCAAAGGGAGCAAGAAGATGGAGTTCGGCCTCAATGCCTACCATAGACTACCGGACAAGCATCCTCAGAAGACGTATGAATTCTTATTGGCGTTGATCGACTATCAGATCAAGGCGGATCGGGAAGACCTGATGCTCGACATGAAGGAGAAATCGGTCAAGTCGATGATGAAGTCAGGCGGGAAGGATGCGGCTCCAGCAACTGGCAAACAGGAGAACCAGGGTGGCAAGGGCAGAAAGGGGAAACCCGGTGGGCCTGATGCCGCTCCTGTGCTCCCAAAAAAGCTAAGGCAAAGGGCCACGCTGGCAAGAACGGCAAGTCCGACGGTGCCAGCGACAGAGGCAAGAGTCCGGGCGGAAGCAAGGATAACCCCTGCTGGTACCACTTCAAATCGGCGAAGGGGTGCGTGAAAGGGAATGAATGCACTTTTTCCCACAGCAAGAAGACGGAGCATAAGTTGGAGAGCATGTCCAAGGGGAAAGGAAAGGGCAAATCCAAGTCCAGATCAGCGTCACCAAAGAGGGATGATGGAGCATGCTTCGCGTTTCAGAAGGGGAAGTGCGATAAGGGAAGCGCTTGCAAGTATAGGCATGAGCTCATCAAGAACAATTCAGCTCCAGCAACGTCAAATGACAAGGCGCAAGCCAAGTCGAAGGCTGCCGCCAAGCCGCAGCGCCTGCCATTGCGAGGAGGGCCATCGCAATGCCCGCGATAGTCCTGAAGCAATCGGCTCCTGCAGGGAAGGTAAGCTTCAAGAAGGACGTTGATCAGGTCGAACCGGACGAAGCCGAGACTGTCTACCACGAGCACGATGACGAAGCGATGAGCGAATCATCGAGATGGTCTGGCGAGTCCGAGATCCCCGAGAAAATGGTGTGGTTCAAGGAAGTGCTCGACGTCGACGAGAATGGGGAGATCACCTACCTCGAAGACGAGAGAAGGCAATGGAAACGAAAAGGGGAATGGTACGGTTATGAGGACAATGAGAATGAGCCTTATCAGTACGTGTACGTCGACGAGAAGAAGTTCAAAAGCAGTGATCATCGTGAATTGTCAGCCTATCAAGTCCAACGATCATTGATACGTGCGAAGATACTGAGAGAAGTAGTGGATGATGTATATAAGAAGCACTACTTCCCGGTGACCAAAGAGAGCAGCATAATGTTCGAGTATGATCGGAACAAGGACGAGATCAAGGAATCGGCTGTCGACTGGAAGAAGCAGCATGGTATGCCGAAGAACGTTTTCGCCATGTCAACGTGCATCAGCAAACGGGTGAAATGGTTGATGGACACCGGATGTGGTCATGATCTCATTGGAAGAGCCAAGGCGAAGAGCCTGGGTGTCGACATCGTGAAAGATGACGATGAGATCGTGTTCCAGACCGCGAATGGTTCCACTTCCACATCTGATGTGGCCAAAATAGTCGTGGACGAGTTGGACGAGACTGTCGAGCCGCATGTATTGGATGAGACACCCACGGTATTGTCAGTGGGGAGGAGATGCATGAAGATGGGTTATGCATTTCACTGGATGCCTGGTAAACTACCTTTCATGGTTACGCCAAAGCAGGGATTCGTGCACTTGCTGGTCAAGGACGACATCCCGTACCTAGTGAGTGATGGTAAACTTCGGAGTAACAGGCATCGCCCTACGATAGACGACCTCAAGGAGCACTTTTCGGAAGTATTGGCGATGGTAACGAACGACGAGGCAGATCAGGAAGGTGACGATGAGAACGACGTCACACCCGCCGCTGTCGGTGAGTCCGCAGAGGCCGAGGGCGAACACCACGACGGGGCATTCGACTTCGGGCCACCCGGAGGAGCCGGTCCGGTACGTCCGCCTCCCGTGGCTGAGGAAATACCTGTAGATGTTGGGTCAGTCCCGCATCGACATGGTGATGCCGAAGCTCACGAGGAAGAGGCTGACGAAGATGATCCAGATGCCGGAATCGAAGTAGACGTGTACGAAGGATCATCAATAAAGAGGAAAGTGGGAGTCCTCAAGAAGGACGCCAACTCCATAGCTCATTTGCTTACACACAGATACCGAAATCCCTTCTGCGAATCATGCGTCAAGGCAAAGATGAGACACTTCAGATCACGAACGGGAGCATTCAAAAGAGAAGTGAAGA